ACGCTGAGCTCTGCATACATGCTCCACAGGTGCTGCTCTTCGTGTCAGATATGCCTTGTTTGCCAGACTCCTTTCTCTAGCCACAATCCCCATCTGATGTTCGTCGTTGTAAGCGTATGTGGCGAGCCATGCCTGTCCACCATCCACTGATTGAAAAACAGTTGTTGGGGCAGGACCTCCTCGCCTTTGCAAGTATTACTTCTCTCCAGATGGAGATAAGGTATGACCACGGCTTCAATCTTCCCCGCGATCCGGTCATCGTCCACGATCTCACCATAAGCCAGAAAAGGCCTTGCATGTTTTGCGAAACTGGGCAACTTGATGATGTGTAAGATAGCCAGCACGTGCCACAGGAGGTGAGACTGCGCGATGAGTTTATTTATCCACTTTGCCTATAGTGCTCTCAATCTAGCGATCCGGTTCAACGACGCCTAGGCCTCCATCCTCCTTCGGGAGCACCACATACTTCCAAGCGACTCTGGGTGGGACACTCTGGTGCAAGGGGTCCGCCGACCAAAGGTAAGCAGCTGCTCCGGTCTGTAGCGGTCGTCTCAGTCCGCTATTCGGGCTGCACACGGTGCCTACGTACCACAACATAGAGAAAACTGATGCGTTGAAAATGAGGGTTCTTCCAAAAGCGAAGGTGTAGATCCCAAACCACCTCTCCATCTTGTTAAGTGTTTTGGCGAGGACTTCCAAAGTCTGCGAGCCACCGGGCCCTGTCGCTGTCATGCATGTGCCCAGATACCACAGTTGCTCGTCACCCTTTTGCCACTGCAGTCCCGGCAACGACGACCTGGGTGTGGGCAGATCATCCCCAACCCGCCCGCCACCAGGCCATGGTCTTTGTCCAATCAATCCGCATCTCGGCCGCCAGCTGGAAGGCGTGCATTGCACGGGTGAGAGCCTCAAAAGAAGAGTCCAAGGCCCTTATCAGGACAATGAGATCGTCCATGAAAAGTATGGTGGTGAGGAGAGAGATTCCCACACCCTCGCCTGTGTTGTCCTCAACGAGCGGGTCTCCTTGCCAGACGGATCTAGACATCTTATAGGCCTCCGACAAAAAAATGTTGAGTTGCACCTTGCCATGTGCATTGTTGTACAGTACCTTGACCCAGCGCTGAAAATTAGGTCCCACGAACCCGCGCCAATTGTTTACATGCACTGCTACTGGAAAGTTTAGTTGACTTGGTTGTAGGCCTTCTCAAAGTCGAAGAAGAGAATGGTTGTGTTTCGTCTCTTGTCCCTGATGTGTCTCACGGACTCAGAGAGCATCATGACATTGTCAAGGATGAATATTCTCGGTATAAACCCGTTTGATCTATGTGGAAGCAGTGATCGATAATCTTTTTGAGTCTGTTAGCCATGAGCTTTGCTAGCACCTTGTAAATCACCGACAGGAGAGTGATCGGCCTGTAGTTCTTGATGTCTGTAGGGTAATTTCTTCTATCAATGTGACCACGCTACTGCTGACGTATTCCCCCAGCCCTTCTCTTTGCTCACACTGCTGCAGGTACTGCAAATACTCCCGTTCAAAGAGCGGCCATAAGGTCTGCAAGTACTCCTGGATAGTCCATCCCTCCCAAGCGTTTTGTTGGGTTTGAGCAATGCCAGTGCTGCTCTTACCTCGTCCTACGTGATAGGCCTATCCAGCGTCTGAGCCTATTTCGATGTCAGGGTCCTATCGAGGTGGAGCAAGAATTTCTGCCTCGCCCGTTTCACCTCGTGCGGCGGGTGATCTACCCCCTTTGAGGTATTCAGTTGCCTAAAGAAGGCCGCTGCCACCTCTAGCGTCTGCTTGGGATTGGAGATCGTCCCCCCCGAGCCATGCAATCGCTCTACGGTGGTGCCCCTAGCTCTGGCCTTGATCTTTGGAAAAAGTACTTGGACATACATTCGCCCTTAGTCAACTCTCGGGCTTTGGCATGCAACCTAAGCCCGTTCAGTCTCCATTTGTGCCAGTCAGCCAATTCTTGCCTGGCCCCGCCCAGCGTCTGCAGGTAGTTTATAAATAGGGAAACCACAAAGATAGGACTGAAGTTCGACATTGGAAGCAAGGCCAAGACGATCAGGCACAAAAGTACAATTTCGCTTGCACCCAATAGGGATTCTCCAGCAACTCGGGTAGGCCCAATAGAGGTCCGATAGGCTTAGAAGGACCAAGTAGCTTTAGAAAAGGTCATCAGTAGTCAGGGCCCGTACGTAGATAGCGGGGAGATTAGATTCAGGCCCTAAAGTAGGATTCAAGGGTGCAATGTTGTCGTGCCAAAAGGGACGAACTTTTGGTAGGCATGGCATATCTGAGAGGCAATAGCAACGCGACCAAGGGAAGGCCAGAGGCCGAGTTGCAACAGTATATCATTCGGGCACACCGAGTGAGGCGACACATCAAGGACAGTCATGCTGCTGCTCCACCCACAGGGTGAAGGCAGGTAGAGCTCTTGCTGAGCGGAGGATTTGGAGTTTGAGAAAGAAGAGGTCCATGGCTATGCAATAGTTGTAGTAGGATCTAGGCCTAGGCTATGGAGGTAGAGGGTGAAGTGCCTCATGCCAAGCTATGGAGAAGGGTAGAAGAAAGATGTAGAGAATTAGAAGCGGAAAGAGAGAGGAACCGACATGAGAGACTCACCATTGGCGATGGTGGACATTCATCTCTACTTCTTTCCTTGTCACTACGTCTAGAAGGTCCCTGTGAAGATATCCGTTGGTCTCAGACTCCATCCGAGAGTGTGGCTATGGTGGGAAATGATGGGAGAGGCAGAGTAGTTGTTGTGTTGTCATTTGAACATTCAGGATGAACATGGATGAACTGTCGTAGTTAGAGATGCAACCAAGGGAAGAAGTGTGAGGTTATGAAAAAAGGGCTCTTTGAGTGCGAGCAATAACGGGGAATACTCGAACACGATTCACATTCATTCATTCATTGGTTGTTGTAATATATTTTGAGTATTGAAAGAGGTAGGAGAAGAAGTGAGGCGGAAGATATTGGTTTTAGTACTTTTATTATCCTCCTTCTATTCTTCTCTTGGAGTACCCAGCAAAGCCAACACTTATCTTCGCCTCGGTGCCAGCCATGATGGTCATTTCAGACACACCTAGGAGATAGACACCATGTCTTGGTGCCCTTACCTTCTTCTCCAAGGCAACTTTGAGCCACATTTCATCTGCCTCTTGATATACATGGCTCAGTTCCTCCCCTAGAGAGTTAACACGATGTTCACCTGATCCAGTAGGTTCCCCAGAATGCCACCTGCCTCTCCCTCACTCATCCCTAAAGTGTTAGTCCTCTCTCTCTCTTCAATCACTCTCTCTCTTCTTGGTATTACAGTGCGTGTCAGCTATACAATCTCCCATACAACAAAGATTACAAAAAACAAGTGGACCTGCCACAGCCACGCTGCGGTGAAGGACGATGACAAAAACATTTTGTGAAACACCCGGACATCGGTTGGACCCCATCTTTGCGATGTACCCCTATCGGACACCGTCCAACTTTGCAAAATGCCCCGGTAGTTGCCAACTATTCGTGGGTGCAATTGCAAAAGGCCAAGGCCAAGGCCAAAACAGGGAGGCTGACATTGCGAATTTGCACACGCGGCTAACAGAGGCATAACACAAAGATGTCCGCCCAAAAGACCATTCCATTGTACCAAGATCTTTCAGGGACATTTTGAAATGCATCTCAACTTATGGGGGTATTTGGCAAATTACCACCGCCCCAAAAAAGGTCGATGGCATCTTTTCAACATTTGGAGGAAGATATGCGAGTATCTTCTCTCTCTCTCTCTCTCTCTCTCTCTCTCTCTCTCTCTCTCT